ACTATCCTTTTGTTGGTTGCAGGAGGTTTGAAATGGACCGGGAACCTAAGAGTGCCAGATACTGTGCTGAGTGTAATAGACTGCATCCTGCTGAGGAAGGGGACTTTTGGGCAGAGTCAAGCATGTTGGGCCTCAAGATCACCTACTTTGCACTGATGGATGGAAAGGTGTATGACATCACAGGTACTCTCTGTCCTCTAGAAATACAGGCTCATACTTCCTGATCTTTTATGTGCTCTAAACTGCAATGTTTTGGCTAATTATTTCTCATGTTTACAGAGTGGGCTGGATGCCAGCGTGTAGGTATCTCCCCAGATACCCACAGAGTCCCCTATCACATCTCATTTGGTTCTCGGATTCCAGGCACCAGAGGGCGGCAGAGGTAGGTGGTATTTCTGTCAATAATCTACCCACTATTTCAGTTTTGAATATGGTTTCAGATGACCTGCTTTTTAGGACACTCAGGGGCCTTATTTTCTAGGAAGTTTGGGAACTGGTAAGTATATCTAACTTTAGGTAACCATATGACTCTAACATCTCTTGCCTTATTTCTGTTTTATCTCAGAGCCACCCCAGATGCCCCTCCTGCTGATCTTCAGGATTTCTTAAGTCGGATCTTTCAAGTACCCCCAGGGCAGATGCCCAATGGGAACTTCTTTGCAGCTCCTCAGCCTGCCCCTGGTGCCACTGCAGCTTCTAAGCCCAACAGCACAGTACCCAAGGGAGAAGCCAAACCGAAGCGGCGGAAGAAAGTGAGGAGGCCCTTCCAACGTTGACGCCCCTTCTCTTTCCTCAAAACAATGTCAGGGAGTCAAAAGGGCTGTGTACAGCACAGGATGGAGTTTGATTTATCCCTCCTCCCCCAAAACCTAGGAACTGAATCTTTTGGTTTTTTTTTTTGAGAGACGGAGTCTCGCTCTATTGCCCAGCTGGAGTGCAGTGGTGTAATCTCGGCTTACTGCAACCTCTGTCTCCTGGGTTCAAGCAATTCTCCCATCTCAGCCTCCTGAGTAGCTGGGATTACAGGCACACACCACCACACCTGGCCCAACTAATTCTTTTTTGTATTTTTAGTAGAGACGGGGTTTCACCATGTTGCCCAGGCTGGTCTCAAACTCCTGAGCTCAGGTGATCCACCCGTCTTGGCCTTCCAAAGTGCTGGATTACAGGCATGAGCCACCGCGCCCGGCCTGAATCTTGTCTTTTGACAATACCAAAGAAATAGGGGGTAGCTAGAGTAAAGAACCTAGGGCCTGGACCTGGGCTGGACGGTATATCCCTTTAGGTGTGGGAACTGGGTATTTCCCTGGGGTCTGTATGCCTTTGTCTTGTCATTTGCTTTTAGGGCAGATGACACTTTTTCCCACCCTTTTAAAGCCACAAGTCTGTCTTCTTTCTTGAACCTTTTCAGGAGGAGCCCTCTCCTTTACCCCGATATAATATTTAAAAGATAGAACAAGAAAGCATGTAGCCCTAATGATAGGAGATTACCGCATAGAGTTCAGAGAGTGGAAACTGAATTTTCCCTCGACTTTCACTTTGTGGGTAAATCACCCAATTTTAGGCTCTTTTCTGCAAGGATGGCCAAAATTAATCATTTTTAAAAAGCAGATTCATGCCCACTGCCCTTGGGTGAGGGGGAAGGATGCAGGGGTTCCCAGAAGCCCCCATGTGATTCAAGGGTTTGTATTTTTTTTTTTAAGTTTGTTCATATTTGTATGTACATACCTATTTAAAGCCAGGGGATTATCTTTCTATAAATGTATAACTGGTAACCTGTATCTTCCCTCTTTTTTGCCCATATAACTGGAGCCCTTTTTCTCATTTGAGAATCCCTTCCCAAGAAGTGTTAAGCTTAGAGTGAAGGGCACCTCCTACTGGACCAAAGGAGAGGGGACTAGAGAATTGTTTTAAGTTTTATACATTAGGTCAGTATTCCATCTTCCTACCCCCAGCCTTATGAGGACAGCTCTCTGTCCTTCCTGCTGATTAAACTGCAGCTATAGCTGGAAAAAATTATTATAAGAAAAATACACAGCAAAACAGAGCTGGAAGGTGGTAGGTGTAGAAGATATGGAAAGATGTAATCACTGAACAAGCTGCCCAAATGGCTTCCTGCTATGGAGGAGAGTGATTGGGCCCTTACCTCACCTGCCTTCCTGATTCAAAGAAACTTGCCGCTGGCAGGACTGGCCCCAGGAGCCCCATTTGCCAATCTCTTCTCTTCCTGGGAGTCTGGAAAAGGTTGTATAGTTCTCACGCTTTCAAGGTGTAGAAGACAGTATGGAGAATAAGAGAAGGATGTTTTATAGTCCTCTGTTTCACTGCCTTCCCTATGCCCATGGAGCTGTCCCAAAACCCATCCCTCAGTATTTGTTGATGCCAAAGACACGAACCCCATGGAACTGGGGCAACTTCGGCAGCAGTACACTGAGCAATGAGGCTGTGTTGATGAGGAAGTGAGCAGCATCATACTTGGTATAGAAGCTGGCCAGGAGATAGCTGGGGAGAGAAAAAAATAGGGTGAGTGAGGTTGGCCTTCCCTATCCATATTCTTTTTTTTTTTTTTTTTTTTTTAAAGAGACAGTTCTCACTATGTTTCCCAGGTTGCAGTGCAGTGGCTATTCACAGGTGTGATACGTGCAGTACAACCTCAAATTCCTGGGCTCAAACAGTCCTTCTGCCATAGCCTCCCAGGCAGCTGGGACTCCAGGCATGCACCACAGTGCCCTGCTTTCTCTTCTATTTTAAATGACCAGTTTTACTGTATATTTACTGTTCTAGGTTATCTAAAACTATTCCAGCTATATCAACAGCATTTACTTTGGGGTTCAGGAGATAGCACCTTTAACTGGAGACTATAAGTCAGTATCTGTTAATTGCTAATGACATGGCAAATGACGGCTGAAGCTATTTCAGTCTGTATGACTGTTAAGAGTCCTCTTTGCTTCCACTCCCTACAGTGTTTTTGAAGATTACTATCAGTTCTGCCTTGATTTACTTATTTTGGCAGTGTAAAATCATTTGGTTTTATTTGGCACTTATCTTTTCTAAGTCCTTTCATTTCCTTACTACCAAGGAGGCAGCAAGGAATGCTTGATTACAGCATTGACTTCTACATTTTACTGCTCTCTGTAGACTTAGAACTAGTATACTTTAATATCTTCAAAGGCTTTTAGATGGGTAGTCTGTTTTTTAACAGCTTCCCTATGGGCCTTTCTACCTGGCTCTTGGAGCTCTTTCTAACCCAGCATATCCTCATTTCCCCCATAGACTCACAGCACAATAGGAGAGATGCTGAGGAACTTGCGGGAAGAGGTAAACTGGAGCCCATAGTCCATTTGCTCCCAGTGTGTCAGTAGCCGAGCCTTTCCTTGGTCAGGAGTCTCAAAGGGTGTCCCTTTCACCGTATGAAGGAAGACATACATAGCCTGGGAACAGGGAAGGTGGCAGTGTGAGGGGCAGAGAGTAGTTCTTCAGTCAAAGAATTATGTTAAGATCCCAAAAGGAACACATAAATCCCCAAACAATTGGTGATTTTATTTTGCTTTTGGTCGGGAAACCCTGGGGTGGGTACAAGGCCGCGGTTTAGTGCTCACCAGGTTATGGATGACGTTGGTCAGGGTCCAGACAACAGGAATGCTGAAGAAGGGGATGCTGAGTAGAACCACATGCAGCAGTCCTACCAAGATGATGTAGGCCAGCCAGATGCCTCGGCTATTCATCACTCGAGTGTTGGGGTTTACTTCGCTGTGCGCCACCCCCACATTCATCCTAGCCATAATGGGGGATCAGGCAGGAGTCCAACTCAGTTTTTTCTCAACCCCTCTTTGAGCTTTCTCCCAGTTGTGTCTCAGATAGCCCCAATTCCCTGAACTCTATTGGGAATGAAGAACTTACCCATCACGCAGAAAATAAAAACTGAAAACTTGGGGAAAACTTTAAAAGACAAGAAGAGTCCTCACTACATTTTAGAGACATAGTCATTTTTGCTCTGATCTTTACACTTCAACTGTAACATGAAGGTGTACGTAGACTTGGGGCACTCCCTTCAGTGAGCGAGGGAAATAGGAGTATCTGACTTTCCTGAAGAAGTTAATAACCATAAAGAGGTCACGCACACCCAGTATTCCAGGAGAAAGTCATGGAATCATCAAAGAACCACTAAGAAGGGATGACAGAGTAAAGCTCACTCTGGTCCCCACTTTGTTCTCTGGGGCTTGTCCACCCTCTCTCACACCTCCGTGGCATGTAAGCAGTCAGCATCCCCATTACTTCTCTCAAGCGTGGGGCACGACGACAACTTGCCCACGGCTTCTGGACTGGGTTCGGAAGGGACCTGAGCTCAACGCCTGGAGAGATGGAGCCTTGGCTCTGACTCCAGGGGCGGCAGTGATTATCTGAACTCGGTTTTTTAAAATTGTGGTAGCTCTTAAGCTGATGATGTCTGGTTAGGAAGCGGCTGTTGCCCGCCCCAGCCCCATCGCCAGTTCCTTAAGCCCGCCCCATGCTCCTCCCAGCTTCCTCCTCACGTTCGTCGGTATTTTCAGGGCTCCCTTCAGCGCTCCCCTCTCAATATTTAGGTCACCGCTTCCTCGGCGCCCCTTTCCTCTCCCACCATTTTTCCTCAGCAACCCTTACGGTCTTTACAGCCCTACCTGCCAGCTCAGATCCCCGTCCCGGCTATGGGCGCAGCGCCGGCTACCACACCTGAAGTCTCCAGGAAGTAACGCCTCCCCGTCTGCCCCTTTCCTATTGGAGGAACACAATCAGCGCTGCCACCACCCGTTGGTTGGTGATCTGTAATGCAGATGCACAGTTGGTTGCCATTTCTGTCGTTCGCAAGATACAGTGCCCGCCCCTTTCCCTGTTCCACCTTTTGAAAGAGGTGGGGAAAGCTGCCTAGAGAAGTGAGAACGACGTCAGCTATTGACCAATGGGAAGAGTTGATGGTATGGCGTGGGAGCAAGAGTGACAACGATTGGTCGGTCTTGCATCTCTACGCCTAAGGCGGGAGCTCCTGGAGGCGGAGGCAGCGGGTGGGGGCCTAGTGGAGTGAGGGGTAACAAGATGGCGACCGAAACGGTGGAGCTCCATAAGCTGAAGGTACAGTGAATCGGGGAAGGGCTGAGTTGGACTTTTCTAGGAACTGAATTCTACAGGGTGGCTTGCGCCTTCTCCTACGTGTTGTCTTTGCAGCCTTTTCCACTTCGTTTTTCGGCTCCCACTGTAGCTCTTTTGTGCCACCCTTCCACACTACGCCTTCCCTAATTTCCCATTTCTCCTCACGGTTTTACTGCTATATTTATTTGTTATTTCTGCTCCCTTCATCGTTGTATCGTCCGTCATCCTTCCCCATCGGGTTGTGTAAGTGCCTTCTACCTGTTATACTCCTCGTTGCTTTTCAGGGCTGCATTACGTCAGTTCGTCCCTCCTTTTTGCCCCATGTCGGACCCAGGATCCGTTTTTCTTCCCTGGGATGATGTTTCCAGTCTGTCGTCCGAAGCTGAGATTCCCCTGTTAGCAAATGGTGGCATTTTTGTGTATTTCTCTCTAAATAGGTCCCAGACACTCAGAAAATACTTCCACTCCCCTTTTCTAGGTGGGATTATGCCCCCACGCCGAATTTTGAAACCAGGGAGAGGCCTCTCAGAAAAGATCGGTCTCGCCTTAGAAGCCTGGGATTGAGGAGACTTTGAGAATAGTAAAAGTACAGACACCTCTGATTTAAAAGTTTTCGAGTTCTCTCACGCGGCTCTCGGCCCGCCGGCCTTCCTCACACACCATCTCCTACCACCATAGAGAACTCATACCTGCAATATTTGGGAAAAACAGTTCCAAGGTTAAGATTATCTCTTTTCCATTTCATATCTCGGATGGGGCCTGCATCTCCTGGTGTTACCATTGGCTGACACTGAATCACAGAAGCTGTTTTAAATTGTCTTGTGAGAATCTTGGTAGTTTTCTCACACCTAGATATATAAAAACGTTAAAAATATATTAAAAAGAAGAAAACTTTAAAAAGTATTTTCTTTTAGGGTAAATTAAGATAATCTTGATTGTGGTTTCACAAGTAGTTTTCTCATTACATGTTTTGGACAAACCAGGCTGATATAGCTGAAACTGAAAAGTGATCCTTTAAAGCTTGAAGAGTTTTTTGTTTTGTTTTGTTTTTTGTTGTTGTTGTTTAAGAAAGCTTAAGGGTAGTAAGGGTAGGGAGAGGACCCTTCTTTAGTCACTTATTAGTTGACCCCAATTAGTCTTTCTGTGAAAGCTGGTGTTTTCTTACTCTTGGATTCTAAACTCTATTAGTGGATTTTTGTGTTATTCTGGAGTTATTGTTAACTTGATGGTACTGAAATGCATAGATTATATCAGTGGTCTCCTGATATTGTGATGAGTAAAAAAAAAAAAATTGAGCAATCATCTCCACTTTGTGTATATATACTGTACTTATAGAAATTGTATACTTCCATACTGTTATAAAACATACACAGAAAAGGAATTTTTGAATGAGATAAAAAGGAACTGTGAATAGAACAGCTAATATTTTCTTCCTATTTGTCCTATTTTTGAAATCCCTGGAGTAAGTCACCAGCTGCCTGATGACTTACTTACATTTATAGATTGTGTTGGTTTATGGAGTTCCTCCTTCCATCAAATCTGTATTTGTCAGGTCTATATTAAATTTGTATTTGATTGGATAAGTAACTTTTACATAAAGTCCTCTGACCTGATTTTAGTGTTACAGTCTAAGAGAACATTAGGCACTCTTGACAGCCTAAAAAGAACTCGCTCTTTAATCACATTTGCTTGTCTTTGCTTTTTCTCTAGAGCACTTCTTAACCTTTTGGAGGTCACAGATATCTTTGAAACTCTGATGAAAGGTATGGACCCTCTCCCCAGAAAAAGGCATGTACACATATTTTGCATGCAGTTTGAGGGGCTTCATGAAACTACCTTGTAGCCCTGAGGAGTCCATGGACCTCTGGTTAAGAACTCATGCCTTTGGCTGGGCGTGGTGGCTCACACCTGTAATCCTAGCACTTTGGGAGGCCGAGGTGGGCGGATTGCTTGAGGCCAGGAGTTCGAGACCAGCCTGGGCAACATGGCGAAACCCTGCCTCTACCAAAAATGCGAAAATTAGCCAGGTGTGATGGCAAGTGCCTGTAGTCCCAGCTACTGAGGAGGCTGAGGCACAAGACTCGCTTGAGCCCGGGATGGAGGTTGCAGTGAGCCGAGGTGGTGCACTGCACTCCAGCCTGGGAGACAGTGAGACTCCATCTCAAAAAGAAAAAAAGAACTCATGCCTTTGATTCTGATTTTTAGGGCAGTTAGTTCCACTGGCGATCTTGATGCAATGATCCTGACTTCTGGGTTGACTTGGGGTTTTATTGCCTTTGAAAAAAATCTTGTCTGGGCCCAGTGACCCACACCTCTAATCCCAACTCTTTGGGAGGCGGAGGCCAGGAGTTTGAGACCAGCTTAGGCAACATAGTGACACCCTGTCTCTACAAAAAATTAAAAAATTAGCTGGGCATGGTGGCGCACACCTGTAGTCCCAGCTCCTCAAGAGGCTGAGGTGGGAGGATTGCTTGAGCCTGGAAGGCCAAGGCTGCGGTGAGCTGTGTGATAATTGCTCCACTGCACTTCAGCCTGGGTGACAAAGGGAGACCTTGTCTCAAAAAAAAAAAAAAAAGAAAAAAATATCTCCATTGTCATAAAGAGATTTTGGGCTTTGGTATGGAACTTCAGGGGAAGGGAATACCTTTGAAGCAGGAAGGAAACATATTATGTATCTGAGTTGATATGTAATGTCATATCAACAGCAAATTTCTGAGGATTTTGTAGAAATGCATTTTTTTTTTTTTTTTTTTAAATTGAGGATGGGGTCTTGCTCTGTCACCCAGGCTGGAGTGCAGTGGCAAGATCTTGGCTCACTGCAACCTCCGCCTCCCAGGTTCAAGCAATTCTCATGCCTCAGCTTCCGGAGTAGCTGGGATTACAGGCACGTGCCACCGCGCCTGGCTAATTTTTGTATTTTTAGTAGAGACGGGGTTTCACCATGTTGTTGGCCCGGCTAGACTTGAACTACTGACCTCAGGTGATCCTCTTGCCTTGGCCTCCCAAAGTGCTGGGATTATAGGCATGAGCCACCGCACTTAGCCCATTCTAACACATTTGGAAAGAGAGATTGAACTGTGGATGAAAATGGCTTGAACTGTAACAGTATCAGATATCCAGTCAAACATCAGAAAAGGAACTATTGCAGAGGAGAGGAGAAAGCGGTAGTGGTGTCAGAGTGTTGAGAATAGTGAGACATTTGTATTGGAAAGTGAAGTGAGGAAATACATTGGTGGTTGAAGATAGTTTGGAAAGGAAAATAGGTAAACTATAAAGGTAAATCAAAAGTGATGTTGAAAAGGGCTTTCTAAGTTGTATAAGGAATTCTGGCCTTTGTCATGTAATAAGTAGGGCTGGGAGCCTTTGGAAGTTTGAAAGGAAGAGCTTGATGTGATCAGCGTGTATTCTGTTGGCAGATGGGATTTGTAGGGGGAGTGATTTCACCACTTAGATGTTTATTTTCAGAGTCATTCCTCTGCTTAAAACCTTCAAATTATGTCCCTGCCAGTCTCTGCGGTATAGTTACTAACACTTCAATTACTGCGGCCTTATTTTATTTCATTTCTTCAGAATGATTGTCTTCATCAGTTGCTAACACTTAGCATTTATTATGTGGCAAAGCACTGTTTGAAGCCATTTGCATGCACTGATTTAATTCTCATAATAACCCTATAAGGTAAATACTTATATTATCCTCATTTGAAAATCAGAAAAACTGTAGCTCAGAGAGAGTAACTGAGTAACTTGCTTTGGTTGCACAGCTAATATGTGGTATATTAAATCCAAGCAGGCTGGGCGTGGTGGCTCACGCCTGTAATCCCAGTACTTTGGGAGGATGAGGCGGGTGGATCACCTGAGGTCGGGAGTTCGAGACCAGGCTGACCAACATGGAGAAACCCTGTCTTTACTAAAAATACAAAATTAGCTGGACGTGGTGGCGCATGCCTGTAATCCCAGCTACTCGGGAGGCTGAAGCAGGAGAATCGCTTGAACCTGGTAGGCGGAGGTTGCGGTGAGCCGAGATGGCGCCATTGCTCTCCAGCCTGGGCAACAAAAGTGAAACTCCGTCTCAAAAAAAAAAAAAAATCCAGGCATCCTGTCTCCAGAATTCCTGTTCTTAATCATTGTACACTGCTTCTCCTTCTTACCTCAACCCAGAACCTTCACATATGCTGCAGTTGGAGTTTTCTTTTGGCTGTAGTACTTCTGCCAGCCTTCCTCCCTAACACCTTTATCTAATTAATTACTACACCCCTTTCAGGTGTTTCACTCAAATATTATTTACCCAAGGAAACTTTCTCTGTTCTATCCACACACATGGTCAGGCCACTTTTTATATAGTTTCATAGGACCCTGTATGTTGTTTAAAAATCAGCTGAACATGCTGGGCGCAGTGGCTCATGCCTGTAATCCCAGCACTTTGGGAGGCCGAGGTGGGCGGATCATGAGGTCAGGAGTTCAAGACCAGTCTGACCAACGTGGTGAAACCCCATCTCTACTAAAAATACCAAAATTAGCCAGGCCTGGTGGCGTGCACCTGAAACCCCAGCTACTCGGGAAACTGAGACAGGAGAATCGCTTGAACCTGGGAGGCAGAGGTTACAGGACCTGAGATCACGCCATTGCACTCCAAGTCTGAGCAACAGAGTGAGACTGTCTCAAAAAAAAAAAAAATCAACTAAACACTATCTGATCATTGATTGGCTTGTTCCCTCCCTGCAAGATTATAAGCTCCGAATGGGAAAGGACTCTGTTTTGCTCATGATTATTTGCCTGTATCCAAGATAATACTTGATACACAGTAGGCGCTCAATAATGATTTATCGAGTGAATAAGCATGTCAAGAGTTCAAAAGAATGGGAATGAATTTGAAAGACATTTAGGATGTAGTAGAATTTCAAGTATTTATAGATCAGTTAGATATGGGAAGATTGAAAGATGACTCCAGGGTTTGGGCAGTGATACCTTTAGTCTGGGTTGGA